TATTTTAACATTTGACAGATGTCGTTTGCAGTCTGTCGCGAGCATTGTATTCAACACATTAAAGACAAGGAAGTACCTCATGGTACATAAAGTCTGCTAGTTATATGGGGTCTAGGTAGAGTTTTCACCCGACTTTTTATTTTTATTTTAAGCACAAATATTCACCGTTATAATAAAAGCACGCTTTCTCCTTTTTATTAAGATAACTTACATATTGGCCAATACTTGCGGTATAAAGTCACCGAAAATCTACAAGTATGTAGTATAAGGTAAATGGGGGCTAAGGAAAGTATTTACCCGATTCAACCCATTTGTAGCATACAGACTTACTACTATCAGGAAACGAGTCTCCCTGACTTTCAGTTATGTATTTCATACATTTACCGATATTTGCAGTAAAAGGCCAACTATAGGTACTAGGTACTACTCAAAAAATCAGTACCAAGGGGCTTGAACAGGTTTGGTTGGATTTGGAAATTTTTGTGTCAGAAGATGGCACACCTCAAATGCGCTTCGTACAGAGTTTTATCCTTTCATATTAATTCATTCCTGATTTTTATACTGAAAAGTGAAAGTTTAAAGTAAATTTTGTTTATGGGAATAAGGCGTGGTTGTTGTCCGAATTCGCCCATTGTACTCAACGGTACCCAAAAAATTACTCTAACCACGTACAACATTTGATTGCAATCGGTCGGCGATGGTGACTTTGGCTTATTTAAAGCTGTCTCAAACCATCTCGGAGATAAAATTTAATGGCAAACCTCTATTAAGCTATTGAATTATCTCGGTTTTCGCAGTATTAACAGTTCCGTTATAAAGGGAGTCAGCAGGGCTACCATCCAAGTTCATATATTTTTCGAATCTAACTCGATTACTTTATATAATATAAAACTAGTATACAACTCGGTCATTGTTGGTTCAAAGAGCTCGTTTAGTATTATATTATATATACTATACATATATACACATGTTTATGTGTGATGCTATCCAGCGGCATGAGTATGAAATATACAGGCATATCGTATTATAAAAACACAGAAACATCAAATTTAATAGGGAATGATTATTGTCATTCGAAAGAACATTCTTTGGCATTTATTTTTTGAAGATTACATCTTTCAAGGTTACGCCTCGGCTACCAATGTCTGAATCAAAGCGGGTTTGTCCGCATAGACTTTAAACTTTACAAATTCCCATAGAAAAAAGTCTAACGGTGTGTTGTCACACGGTCTTGGTGAGCAATATCCGTCCCAAAATGTGAGATTAACTGCTCACCGATAGGTTTTCTCAATAAGTCTACAAGTTGTTGCGATGTATGGAAAGTAGCGCTGCCTTGTTGAAACCAAATGTCGCCAAGATAAAGGGGCATCAAATAATCGCTTATCATGGCATGATAAAGGTCGCCATTGACGTTTACATTCTCATCGGTATCAGTTATGAAGAAATATGGATGCACCGATGATTACACCAGCCCACAAACTACACTGAACTGTCGTTTTTTCATTTCATTTCATTCACATTTCAAGGCCGAGCAGCTTAGTTCTTGCATAAGCTGTATTTTGTACGCTTTCAATTTAAGATCTCGGCGTAAAATGCGCCTAGTCGTTCCATACGTCAGTCCGAGTTGTTGCTAACGGCGCCGAATCAACTCTGCACGGTCTTGTGTACACTGCGGCTACTTTATTGCCTGCCGGATGTGATCTATTCGGTCGAATATTATCCAATAATTAATGCTCAAGATGGGTGATGGTGTTGCGAGTAGTCGCTCGTTATGTTGGACATAATTTAAGCGAAGCGCGCGAAACACATTCTTTACAGAAAATGAATTTTCGTAAAAAATTGCAACATTTTTTAAACTTTGTTCAGGTGTAAGTCTATCGATGATAAAAAGCCAAGCAATACTGAATAAAAATAGTTTGACATCTTTATACAATTCACAATTTGTTACGTTACATTCCTTTGACATATTACAGTGTGAAAATGGGAAAAATCGAATTATATCCACGCTTACTTCCCATATAACACAATTTTAAATTCGATTTGAAACTTTCACTTTCCAGCTTAAGAATGAATTAATATATCAAGATAAAAATTTGCTAGTGCATTTAGTGCCACCTTTTGACATAAAATTACGTAAATCGAACCAAAACTATTGAAGCCCCTAGGTACTCAATATGTGGACCCACTGCTTATAGTTGACTTATTTTTATTTTGAAAATATCGATCAATGTGTGAGATATATAGTTGAAATTCAGAGAGAATCATTTTCTTATAGTAGTATGTCTACGTGTCAAAATGGGTTGAACCGGATCAGTACTTCGCTTAGCCATGGGAGCCCTAAATAAAGATTTTAGAACTTCTGGGTAATTTTACACAGCAGCCAATATGTGAGTTATCTTATAAAAAATTAAGAAAGAATGTTGATATATAATGTATAACTAACACGCCCTATGAACTTCCCTGGCTTTAGTCCTTACAAGTAGCAAGAGTATAAATGTTCGGTTACACAAGAACTTAGCCCTACTTTAATTGTTAAAACTACGTCCGCTCTGAGCCAGACGCTTCTCGCGTTCTTTCTCGAGTTCTACATATCCATTGTCCTTAGCGCACTATAAATGCCAATGTGGCTCTTTGAATACATTTTTGATGTAAAACATTACTGGCCTGCTAACCTGGTTTCAACTAACCAAACGAATACCGTTTTCGTAAAAGTTCAAGATTTTCCGCATAAATCCTTTGCCAACCATGGTCTTCCTCTTATCTTAATATTAACGATAGCTTCCTAGTTCAGTATATAGATATAGCCTTAAATTAACACGTAGGCGTTATCTAGGAACTGTCATCTTAGCATAAAAAGGCCGTCGACGGCATTACAGCCTCATTCCTAAAATACGCGAATAGCTTCTGTTAACTTAAGATTAACATATTAGCTACACTGCATTGACTCACATCGCTGTATAATCAAAATCTTATATAAATTTTATGTTTTCGAATAAAACATATGTTCATCATTAATGACCAACTTTTTTCTCATAAGTCTACACATCGAAAATATAACCGTACTAGCATATTTATTTAAAAGCTATTGTCCTATCTGTTTTTGTAATTATATCACACAACGAATACAAATAGAAAATATTTGTTTAAAAAAAAATTTTCGGAACTTCTACCAGCATATTACATTTGAGTACTGTTCCAACTCTTACTTATTTAGTAGTTGGCAGCTGCACTACCAAATTTGTGTGATGTAACATGTTGCAAATTATTTTTCGCTTAAAATTTATTCGATATATACAATACACCTGAAAATATCTTAATTATTAATGCCCACTCATATATTTTAGTGCGATTTGTTGCAAAAGTAGACGAAACCAATGTGGATATTTTTCCAGCTCCACTATTGAAATAATCTTCGTACCTGTTGTACGCTTATACCTATAGCATTCAAATTGATAAATATGAAGCCGATCCCACAATAGTCTGAACAAAAAAACTCGCCGGAATTCATTTAAATAATGGCAGGAATATTTTCCTCGGGTTTAGCGACAACACATACCTACATATGTAATTTATTTCATGGAAATATGATTCTTAAGCATAGTTTGAGTTGATTTCAAAAATGGATTATGAGATCTAAATTTTCCAACGTACGCCGACTGTTTTGCTAGCAAAAGCTTTCTGGCAGTTGCTACAAATCACAAGACTATCTATGTGCAGCTGCATTTGAACTTTGCCTCTTCTTACTTTTAAGGGTATAAAAAAAAATCCAAATTGACATTTTTCCTTAGTTTATAATGGAACTATGTAGACAGTTTGGTAAATTTCCGTAACTAATATAAAACTTGTATATTTCTGACGGAAGTCGAACAAGAAAAGCAACGCGTAAGAATTATCAGTAACTCGTTTTGACATGGGATGATTGACTCACTAAAAAATCTAGTGCAATTACATGCCACAAATAACTTATGCTTAGCAAGTTCCGAATAATCAGACACACGTCACAAAATTTTAAATATTGACTTACTCACGAGATAGCAGAACTTTCCACTAATTGACAAGTCTG